TTTTGTTGACAAGCAGACTTTCACAATAGCATGTGTAAAGTTTTCGAAGATATAAGTGATGTTTTATTGCTATTTTTTGTAGTGTCCTAAAGCAGCGTATTCCTAACCACAAGTATTTGTACATGTAAAGATTGAAAGTGTTGGTTTTTTCTGTATGGTTACTAATCACAATATTATATAGTAACCAAGTTCATCTGTCATGACAGTTTTAAGATATGTTAAGGTATCCGTACTATATTGATGGTAACATTACAAAATATCTCTCATGTGGTGTTTCAAAATATTTTTGAGAAATATTTTAAGGATGTTCACACCTCTGATTCAAAATAACAAGCTTTTTAAAATATTGTTATACATTTATAATAAATATAAATAAAGGAACTTGAAAAGCAGAAAAAAAATTTAAGGTCAGTGTCAATTGAAAATTTGGCGGGAAATGATTGTCTCTAGATTTTTCATGCATATAACATTGGCCCTTTTTTCTTTCAAAAACTAGGAAAAAAATGAAATTTTAAACTATATGTAATAAAATTATGACAAGAAAAGTAGAGGTTTGGGGGTGAAATTTTTATTGGCAAAACATGGATAAAACTAGACAAAAAGTCAGATACAAGAGTAGCGAACATCCTTGTGGTGAATTATCAACTGATTATAGTATGGAGTCCTTAACATGTATATTTAAGTATCTAGACCTAAGGTAAAGGACATAACTCTTAAAATCACTGATATGTTTGTTTCAACCATTTTAATACAAATTATTCAAAGTTTTTAAATAACACAGATTATTTTACTTCTGTGTCAGAATATATGCTTAAAAAGCAATATTGATGCAAGGGACTATTACAAACACATTAATGATTTTCAGATTTATCTCCCTTAACCTCCCTAGGTCCTTATTCAGTTATGTAACAAACTATACAGGAATGCACACAGAGAGAAATGTGGTATGACAATCCACTTCTAAATTAAATTACACATAAAATACTGACTGTTTTATCAATTGCAATTCTTCATTAAATGTATGAAACAATCAATATCTATTGTAGGCATATTAGTATAAAAAAAAATGCTGAAAAAGCAACACAAACCAACTGTGCATATTATGTTTTGTTTCATATATATACATATATAAGTAAGAGTGAAAGAACAGGAGTTAGTATATTTTTAGAAGATCTAGCAAACTGTAGCAAAACCACCAATGAAGCAAACAGATAGCAGGGCAGAATTGTTCCAAAACATATTTTTTATGAGATGAACTACTTTAAACTCAGAAATTATTGCAAACCTTAATTGTTTTGATTGTTGATAATTTTTACAAAGTGTTTTTCTGAAATGCTGAACACAGATATTTCACTCATAATCTAAATCAAGTTTTAATTAGTTAATGTTTTATGCAATAATGAAAACTTTACAAAAAATTTAAATATTAAAAAAAAGTGTCAAAATTTTTAGAATATTTCATGGTATTTTACTTGAAGGAAACAATTGATAAATTTGAAGCAGTGTGTGAAAACTTTTTTTCTCTTACTCACCATGTTGTCAAGCAGTTTTTCATTTCAACTTGCCAAATTCAATTTCACTAGCTCTTGGCAAGTGACTTATTAATGGGACTTTCCCTCTTTTCATACATGTACATGAATATTGTATGCAACACATAGATATCATTCTAAGTTTACCAACAAAATCTATGTATATTATTTCATATATAAGTTTTCTAATTTATCTTATGTGGTTAATTCCATAACTGGTAACTTGACAATTACTATTTATTTGGAACAATTAATTTTATCTTTTGATTACCTGAGGTGGGGATATCAAATAGATTTTTTCCACAAGTAAAAACTGAAAATTTTTTATTTATGTTATGAACAGACTTCATTATTTCTATAATATAAATTGATGGATATACAGAAGCTTGAGTTGTTGAGCAGTTTCTACTGAAATTATAACATGTTTAAAAATTATAAACATGAAGAATTACACTGTATGTACAAGGATTGGATCATAAAGCATTTTTTTGCTCAGTTTGTGGTTTTCCTTTCCTTTTTAGTTCCTTTCGTTTCTAAATTATTTAGCCCTAAAAACTTTCATTTCCAAGTTTTAAAAAAAAAAATATATAAAATTGGTCAGTTCCCAAGTACAAGAGCTTGCCATATACGTTTCTGACTCGAGTTGGCAAGCAGAGGTTTCACACACTGTAATGAGGGAAAAAACAGCATTTTTTTAACTTGCATTATCACTGAGTTTGAAAGTAGATGAGACTTTATAAAGATTTCAACATCCAAAAATAAAATAATATTTTGGATATGTATTTCAAGTTCCTAGTATAGCTTCCAATAGTTTAAATCATTTTAAAATTCATATGAATGCCTGATATATGTTTGCTTTATTTCACTTTCAATCACATTAGCTGCCACTTCCATAAAAAAGCATTAAATTGCCCTGTACCTTTGTATATTTATTGTCAAGTTTGATAATAATCTCAGAAATTTCAGTCTGCAAAAGATAGATATAGTTATTTATAGATACTGATCATGATCATTACTGAAAAATGAGTGAACGACAAATCTCCTTTAACAATTTATATTATGGATGAATAAGGATTTCTTGATGAATGAATAAATATTACAACCATAGGACTGAATATATAAACAGAGTACTTGAAACTTTCAATTGACAATAGCAAGGTAAAATCATTAAAGCTACCATCCAACAAGAGTGCACACGCTGAAATGTCTCGCCTTCATTACTAATCATTGATATTATGTTGATAGTCCTAAATATAAAGCTTTATTACAACTGTCACATAAACTTAACATTAACCAAGTAAACTAAACATTGAACAATGAACCATGAAAATGAGGTCAAGGTCAGATGAACCATGCTAGGCAGGCATGTACAGCTAACAATTCTTCCATACAACAAATATAGTTGACCTATTGCTTATAGTTTGAGAAAAACAGACCAAAACACAAAAACTTAACACTGAGCAATGAACCTTGAAAATGAGGTCAAGGTCAAATAAAACCTGCGTGACTGACATGTACATCATATTTCCATACACCAAATATAGTTGAACTATTGCATATAGTATTAGAAAATAAGACCAAAACTCAAAAACTTAACTTTGACCACTGAACCATTAAAATGAGGTCAAGGTCAGATGACACCTGCCAGCTAGACATGTACACCTTACAATCATTCCATACACCAAATATAGTAGACCTATTGCATGCAGTATAAGAAAAGCAGACCAAAAAACAAAAACTTAACTATAACCACTGAACCATGAAAATGAGGTCAAGGTCAGATGACAACTGCCAGTTGGACATGTACACCTTACAGTCCTTCCATACACCAAATACACTAGACCTATTGCTTATAGTATCTGAGATATGGACTTGACCACCAAAACTTAACCTTGTTCACTGATCCATGAAATGAGGTTGAGGTCAAGTGAAAACTGTCTGACGGACATGAGGACCTTGCAAGGTACGCACATACCAAATATAGTTATCCTATTACTTATATTAAGAGAGAATTTAACATTACAAAAAATGTTAACTTTTTTTTCAAGTAGTCACTGAACCAAGAAAATGAGGTCAAGGACATTGGACATGTGACTGACGGAAACTTTGGAACATGAGGCATCCATATACAAAGTATGAAGCATCCAGATCTTCCACCTTCTAAAATATAAAGCTTTTAAGAAGTTAGCTAACGCCGCCGCCGCCGGATCACTATCCCTATGTCTAGCTGTCGCAGGCTCCACAAAAACCATTTTTTTCAATTTTCTTATATTTTTTTAGTGACCTTGAACGTTTCAAATAAGCAAGGGAAACTCAAATTACCATCTGGAAACTTAAGTTTTTGTAACAGAGACCTTGACATTTGACCCATTGATGCAAAAATCAATAGGCTTCTTCCTCTTTACTATATCTTCTTTCTGTATAAATTTCATTACAAGCAAACAAAGATTACTCAAGTAACTCTGTAGCAACAATTTTTTCATTTTTTTTCTATTTTGATTACATTGACCTTGATCTATTGACCCTAAAATCCATAGGCTTCTTCCCCTTTCGATTATCTTTCATCTGTATACAAGTTTCATTCAATCATAGGAAACTCAAGTTTCCATTTGGGATCAATCCCCCCCCAATTTTTTTTAATAATAGTGACCTTGACCATTCCAATCAAGCAATGGAAACTCAAGTTACCACCTGGAAACAAGTCCCCCCACTTTTTTTTTTTAGTGACCTTGACCTTTGACCCCAAATCAATAGGCTCCTCCCCATTTCTTATTTCTTTTATCTGTATAAGTTTGTTTCCAATCCAGCAAGGGGTACTCGTTATCATCCAGAAACAATTTGTTTCATACAAAGGAGTAAAAAAGGACAGACAGACAAAGAGATTTCTATAAGCTGTTGAAACTTTTTTTTTGGGGGAGCATAAAAATATGCATTTAGTCTGATTTAAATACAGAAATAACATCCTAATTTCACAGAAATTTCCTAATGGCTACGATAACAGTGGTTCCCAAGGCTTTGAGAATTAAACTGGACATTTGGACATTTTGTCCAGTTAACCATTCTTCTTAATTGAGTTACTGGACCAGACCCTTTTTTACAGGACATTTACACATATGATTTGGACAAAATTAAAAATTTTACTGGTCATTTGGTCCAGTAATGCATATCACTTAACTGGACAAAACCAATTTTTACTGGACCTTGCCCACTGTCCAGCGACCTTGGGAATGACTGAGATAAATCAAACATCAAATGGGAGGTAATTTTTTAAAGGATGTGGCTTTCGATTAATGAATAGATCATTGGAAATTCATTGATATTAATTAATCTATTCTTTTTCATCTTTTTTACGATTTTTTCTTGCTTTAAGACCTTTAAAAGTTGCCTGTATTTTTACAGCTGCTTTCTCAACATCAGGGTCTTTCAAATCAATATCTATTTCTTCCTCTTGACCTTGACCCGATTTCTCACCTTCAGTCTTCTTTTCTCCTTCCTCTGTTTTTTCTTCCTCTTTCTTTTCAACAGATGTATCACTCTTTTTTTCCTGCATTTCTTTTCGTGTTTTATATCCTTTGAATCCTGCTTGAATTTTCGTTGCCGCTTTTTCCACTTCTGGATCATTTAAGTCAATATCAACTTCCTCTTCTTTTGAATCAGTTTTTGTTTCTTCCTCTTTGGAATCAGTTTTTGTTCCTTCCTCTTTGGAATCAGTTTTTGTTCCTTCCTCTTTGGAATCAGTTTTTGTTTCCTCCTTAGATTCAGTATTTGATTCTGATTCTTTCGTTTTACCCTCCTCTACTTGTCCTTGTAATTCTTTTCGTGTTTTATAGCCTCTAAATCCAGCTTGAATTTTAAGTGCTGCATTAGCAGTCTCTGGATCATTTAAATCAATATCAACTTCTTCCTCTTGTTTCTCTTCTTTCTTTTCTTCTGTCTTTACTTCAGTTTCAGATTTCTGAAAAAGAATGATTCAATTATTTTCTCAGACTTTAACCCAAGATGAAAAATTAAAGTCCCGAAGACAATCAAGTAAATCAAAATCTGAAGACTATTAAATAAGATATAATAAATAAACTTTGCTGAATATATCCATGAACTGATTATCAACTAGAGGCAAAGCAAAGATTTCAACAAGCAAATATGAATGATAGTTTAAACACAAATAAGCATGAACCATTTATGAAATCTAATTAATATCAAACTCAAACACTGATAAAAAAATATGCATTCTTCTGTTGACTGAAAACCTCAGTGCTAATATATACAGAATGTTTAAAGTATATTGTAACTCAAAACTCTCCTGACAATAAATCTTTGATGAATTAAACATAACAGAGTATAATGCAAAGAAATGATCAAATTTTACATTTGATTCATGACTTTTGTAATTATTTTTTACATTATTTATCTATTGTTATGTACAGTAATGTCTGCTTTAACCATATCCTTGAGAAAACAAACACCAGTCTAAACGAAACACTTGCATGAATACATATAATAATAAATATACTTCAATAAATTAAACTTTGTACAGCAAATGCCTCTTATTCAAACATGATTGATAAGCTGTAAAAATGTCCCTTGCCACCGTGTAGTGTCAAATAGAGTCACAAGGCATGCTGAAATAGTCCAAGATAATCAAAGTCCAATAACACTATCAGATAATGTCAAAAGATAATATACAGTTTGGTCAACTACACAAGTATGAAAGCTTTCTGGCATATGATGTATGAGGAATTCCATCAACAAGATGTCATTGTGTTAAAATATTGCCCCAAAAATGGTCAATGTCCATCAACTCCAGCAAGAATTGCCAAATCAGTAAAATAGTGGACAAAAGTCTCAGAAGAGTTGTGTTCACAAAGTTTCATTGTTACAATAGATAAAAAAAACATTCAAAGTCAAACGACACATGCAAGAATTGTCTTATCCAAATGATGGTAAAGCTTGACACCTAAACAAAATGACACATAACCCTACCATGTATGAAAGATTTCTGGCAAACAGTCCAAGTAGAGTCCATTCTCAATGTGTCATTGCATTACAATTGAAAAGAAAAGGTCAAAGGTCCATTTCTCATGCAGAAATTGTTAAATCAAAATGACGGTACAGAATGCTCAGCTATGCATTACAACAAACAATCCTACCAAGTATGAAAACTTTCTTGGAAACACTCTCAGAAGAGTTGCTTTCACAAGATATCATTGTGTTACAATGTAAAAATAAAGGTCAAAGTCCCATAACTCCAGCAAAAATTGTCTCATCAAAATGACAGCAGAATAACTACTCCTTAAGACAAACAAATCCCCCACAAGTATAAAGCATTCTGTAATAGTATGTTGTATCTAATGTATAATTATCTGGATCTTTATAGGAACATAAAAATAACTTTAAACAAAACTGCAAACATTCTACATACATGTACTTATACACTGAAATGTAAAGAAATGAACATACTTCAAAATGAACAACTGCACAATTATGGTATACACCAAAAATAAAGAGTAATCTCATATGTCCTTATCTAAAGATTATTTGTCAGTGTATAATGTGGATAATTATAAGGCAACCCATAATTAAAGTCAGATTTATCATCCTATCGATCAAATGAAAAATGTTTGGTATTCCTCTACTATGGATGCCTCATTAAATAAGTAAAACTTTACTCAGATATAAATATATACTTTAACTTTATCAATGAAGAACAGACTATTTTCACATGAAAACTGAATGATTCAATAAGGAGAATGATAGTTGTCTACATCTTGACTTTCATAACTAGAATATCTATAACATTTTATAAACAATAAGATAAAAACAATCTAATATGAGTTTGTTAGTAATTAAATGGTAATAAGTACTTGAAAAATTATTCAAAATTTCAACTTGAATATGCATACATGTATTATAAAAGCATTCTCAATCTAAGATGGCCAAGAAAATAAAGAATAGATTTTATATATGTTATAAAAATTGAATGCAAGTAGGAAAAAGAAATGCCTAGTTTTCAACAAATAACCTGATCAAATTATTTTATATTAATCTCTTTTCCTTATTTCATACAATTTTAATGTCACTAGTCTCCCATGTTCAACTTTAACAGGTTATTTCTTCGATTCCAATGTTTTTTAGACATAATTACAGAAATAAGAAATCACAGGAAAATTTTTTTCTATATTTTTTTATCAAATTCTTTCCGAAAGAAAACTGATAGGTTATCCTTGAAATATTACAATCTGAATAAAATACTGATCCTGTATCCACACTTTGCTAACAGGGATGTGACACTCTGTTCTACTCTCTGATTTGGCATATATTACATCATCCAATGAAATTTCAACATTCAAAATTTCGAAAACGAGTATCATTATATAATTATGACAGAACAAGAAGATCCCTATAGGTCTTTAAAACAGAAAGTAGAATAGAGCCATGTCAGATCATTGTTAGCAAAGCATTGACATAGAATCTGTATAAATTTCAATTAAATTGTAAAAATTATATATGTATTTATATTTTGAATTTTTCTGTTTTAGAGCATCACTCTTCTTGCTTATGTTTATCAAAAACTGTCAAAAAAAGTCCCATTTTGAGGGCTTGGTGTTTATATTTAGTTATGAGAAAAAGCCTAATTATAAAGATATCTTATAGAAAGATGTTTATAACATATATCTTTTGTGTGGAGCCTTAGCTCATATAATATTTTGTCAAAAACAATATTTGAAAGGCCACTTTTAGGAATTATATTGCAATTTCAGGATGTTTATGATATCACAGTGACATCACAACTGACATTTCTGTCCTAAATTCATTAAACTGTGCAGATTATATAATCCTATTCATTTATCACTAAAACCAAATTCATTTTGAAGAGATTGGTATATTTATCTAGTAATATTGTTCTTTCAGCAACATATAATATTTCTTATTAATAAATCCCAACTTTATTGAAGTTGCACAAGCATAAAAATGGGTTAAAAATGTTTTAATCAATATAGATTATTAGAACAAATGTATATATATGGCAGTGATACATATATAAGAATAATATACCAACTCAGGTTTTACAAATATGGAGTAAAAAGGCATATATATATACAGACAAACGAAAGGGAAAATAGGTTAAAAACACATATATAGAAAAATTGCAGCTGAAATTAAGAAATTACATTTTATGTTTTTCAAGCTATGGATTATATCTACAATTATTAGTATGTTTAATGAAGGAACTATAAGACTACAAGGATAAATATGTATTACGAAAATATTATAAAACAGAGAAACTGAAATAGACAAGGCAGGCATGGATATAAAACGGAAAAAAATTCTCAAACCTTCGATTGCATTTCTTTGCGAGTTTGGAAACCTTTAAAGCCTGCCTGAATTTTAATGGCAGCTTTTTCAACATCAGGATCATTTAAATCAATATCTACTTCTTCCTCCTCCTCTTCCTTTTTCTCTGGTACTTTCTCCTCAGACTATATTTGTTTAAAGTAGATAATGCTTAATTTTAGTAACAATAAAAGTGTAAGATTCCATTTAAGCAGAAGAAGTTCCTGTAAGTTTGGAAAAATCATTTTAAGTTGCTATAAGCCTGGTAAAATCAATTTTATATTATTCATACGGCCATTTATGACGTATACATGAATCTGTAAAATCTACAAATAAAATGACACATTTTAAAGCTATTCCATTTCTGTTTTTGTGTTGTTTTCAACCAAAAACAATACTTGTGCTCCATCATCTCAGAGTAATGAGATATTTGTATGAACTAAATAATTGTGCAAACCTTAATATCCACAGAGTAGTGATAAATTTGTATGAACACATGTCTAAATTATGAAGAAAATGATTTAAAAACTAATGTGATAAACACGCACGAAGAATAACTCCTTTGCTATAAACTTGTGGACATGGATTATGCTTAACTAAAAACTACTATGTAATGATGAAAAATAGAATATGGATCAAACCTTGCTTTGCATTTCTTTTCGAGTTTGGAAACCCTTAAAGCCTGCCTGAATTTTAATGGCAGCTTTTTCAACTTCTGGGTCATTTAAATCTATATCTACTTCTTCCTCTTTCTGTGGTTCTGTTTCCTGTATGTAAATGAGGGTGAAACAACAAACGATGAGACATGTAAGTAGCAAGCTAAGTAGTGTAGCAGGATGGTCACAAATAGTGCATACTGTAGATTCATTATTATTCGTGGAATACCAATTTTCATAAATTTCATCAGTAAAGGTAAACAATGAATTTTAAATGTTCAAAGGAGGACAAATTCACTACAGATATAAGAAGATGTGGTATGAGTGCCAATGAGACAACTCTCCATCCAAGTCACAATTTGTAAAAGTAAACCATTATAGGTCAAAGTACGGCCTTCAACATGGAGTCTTGGCTCACACCGAACAGCAAGCTATAAAGGGCCCAAAAATGACTAGTGTAAAACCATTCATAGGTTTGTATGCAGACTTTGGCAGAACCAAAAAATCAAATATTCAAGAAAATTCAATTTTTCCCCAATCCCTGAAAAATTGGTATCCACAAACATAAATGAATCCACAGTAATCAATTAATTATTGCTTTAACACATTTGTAAGACAGTTTTTTTTATTCATATCTCAGGCATTCCATAGATGTTCTGACTATAATAAGAATTAATTCATATGCAGCATTTCCTCAAACCTTGTAAACTTATTTTGTATTTTTTATCAAATTGTATTTAAAATGCAACCAAGAATTACAGAGAGAGAAAAAAAATGTGTGTAGAAACATATCAAGTATTCAATAAAATTTGCGGAATCAATAGTTTCTGCAGGAATCCCAATTATCCTCTTTGACAATTTTTATTCTAATCTGGTTTAAGATATCTGAAACTAACAATATACTTCATGCATACTTAATCATAATTTTTCACAATTACCATTTATGAAGTCATGCTTCATTCTTACTGATTATGTTATATTATAATTATATAATAATGACACATAATTCACAATACTACAAAATGACTGAGATATGATACCATAAAAACTTGACTTGATAAACAGTTAATAAAACTAAACAAAGGAATTAGCCAAATGTTCAAATGTTATGATTGCAATACTGTGACCTATATCAAAATGGAGTTGCTCAACTGTATTTTACTAAATTAGGTACAAATAATCACATCAAACATATTATTGCGATGAATGAATCTACTGGTATTACCGTAGCTATCAAATGACACAATATTTTTTAAAGTCTCCAATTGCTCTCTACATGTTAGTCAGAAAAGTGTCTCCTTGAAAGGTTTTTTTTGTAAATGCAATAAATTTATTGGTTTATTTAAAAAAATTTGCAAATTATATTTATATCTCTAGTCTCTTACTTTGAGCATATAAGCAATACTTGTGAAGAAAGAGGAATAATCAAAACTATAATAAATAGCATCAATTCTTTCGTTTATTTCTTTTTTCTTGGTAAATTTACATCTGTTTCAATCAATTATAAAAAATGCTAAGAGAAGCTAGAGGAAGGGAATAACGAAACACTTAGATACATGTGCTAGAGCTTTTCAGATCTTAAAATGCACAAAAATCAAGTCGAACTAATTGTTTCTAAAATTTTAAGGTGTCTAGCATTTGTCTAAGCAAAGAGCAAGGAAAACAAGACGTCACAAATTATCACCACAAAGGATAAAGCTACATGTAATCTCACATGTATATAATATCAACCTAAGTGTATGAATGGAGTTTGTGTATGGTTCAAATGAATCATTAATAATTCGCAAACTTCTTTGAGATGTGACAATTTTCATTCTTAACAATACAGCTTGTAAAATTGAATATATAAATTTGAGGATGTAGAATATAATGAAGAAAGATACCTGGTTCAATTTACCAACCTGGTTTGTTTGTACGTCAGTTTTGCTTGACATTTCTTTTCGTGTTTTGTGACCTCTGAACCCTGCCTGTATTTTTGTAGCTGCTTTTTCTACTTCTGGGTCATTGAGGTCAATATCAATTTCCTCAGTTTCAGACTGTTTAGTTTGGTCTACTTTTGTTTCAGACTGTGAAGTGCAAAAAGTTGATATTGCTATTAAACACTTGTGTGGAATTAAATGTTTAATTAACTATCAAAAGACACAATGTAAAATTAATGTGAACACTGTGAATTTAATATTGCTCACACAAACCATTACACTCATCAAAATATTCAGTATTTTATGGACTTTTTGAAGTTTAAACCCCCAAATAAATAGAATTTATTTCGATTTTATCGGAAAATCCAATGGTTAGTGTTATAAAATATAGAATATTTTTTTTACCCCTTCAGTTATCAAAATAATCCATAATATACATATTTAAAAGCTCATTAAAAATAATCAGAAACAGAATTTAGCATCACTAAAAATTAGGCATATTAATTTGTCACACAATGATATGAGAAAACACATGAGTTTTTTTTTCAACTGGATGACAGTTCTTGATCTTATAGCAGAGAATAAACTATTTTACTAACAATTGAATATATAACTTATAAAAAAGGAATGGATACGCTTCACAAAAAGGAATGGATACACTTCACAAGAACCGATATTTTATAAAACAGTTATTAAATTACAATGCAAACGAAAATAAAATATAAAATTCATGCTGGGTATAGTCTGCACTGGACAGGTTTCATTGTAATATGGTAAAATCTGATTTTGATTATTTCAGTCCACAAAATGAAAAGGGAGATAACAAAGTAACTTGTGAAATTAATTGAAACATTACTATATACAAATATTGGGTGTTATTCCTTTTAAATGCTTCAAATTGTTTTACAGTGGAAAATATGAATATAGCATAGTACAATCTCATTCAAGCCTTCATTTAACGGAGAAATATTAAGTCTTATATGCACTGAAGTTTTTTCACCTTTATTAAAAGGTTCCATTGCTCCAAAGAATTTGATTCAACTTTTTTACATGCAAGACAAAATTCAGAGCCGTTTTTCAAGAGTGAAAATATGTTGTATCTAATGAAAATTTACATTATTCTGTTTGACCTTGAAAACAATATTTCTGCATGTTTAAAATTCTTTTTGATAAAAAAATAAACTGTTCTTTGCGACATCATCAGATATGGTTGCATTTGTTCATGCTATCACAATAGCAAACTGAAGAGTAAGATATGAATTTTGAAATCATATTTAATTTTGACTAATTTAAACCAAGCAGATGACTTGTGATGAAATATAAAAAGTAGGTCAGGAAAGTATGAAACTGTTACGAATTACAAAAGTGCATACAAAATTTGACATTTCTTTGTTGAACAGAACAAGAACAAAGATTTAAGGATTATTTTTTTTTCTAATTCCAGAAACTATAAATAGCTCAATCAAAAGCATAAGTAGCCAATCTAAAGCAAACTATCAAAGGTTATTCAATTCTGGGAAATAAGTACAGTCATTACAACAAAAGGTAGGGTCAAGGTTTTTCAAAAGGCCAACAAAAAATCATGGGATTATGAATTCTGGGAAATACTGAAAGTGACAACACTTAAGGTGGGACTCAAGGTCAAATTGATCCACACACCTGTACATCAGTTTTGCTTTGCATTTCTTTTCGTGTTTTGTGACCTCTGAACCCTGCTTGTATTTTTGTGGCAGCTTTTTCCACTTCTGGATCATTAAGGTCAATATCTACTTCTTCTTCCTTGCTTTCTGGCTGTTTTTCCTGGAATGTTATCACACATCAAACTTGAGTTACACAAAGACAAACAAAACTCAAAAGTTAGCAATTATTAACAAAACACACATACACACAAAAATTGAGACATTCAAACAAATGCATTTAGAGTTAAATCCCCTATTCTAGCAAAGCAAATTATGAAAAGTTTTCTAAACCTTTATTTAAATGGCCTATTGACTAATTGTGACATTGAACGTATGATCTATTAACTTCTAATTCTATTTAATTATTAGAAATTCTAATTGGAACAATAACAGTTACAATTTCATCATTAGAATCATTCTGGTAAAGTGTAAAGATACAGGTTTCTAATCAAACTAATACAAAGAGCAAGTGACATAATAAACATATAAAATCAAGTTAAAAATAACTTTCATTGACTGTCTAGAACAAACAAACCATAAAAAATAAACAAGCTATTTCACAAATTTTTACACATGCTTCAATAATTCTGTTTTTATGTATTTGCTAAGAAATAGTATTCATTGAAACAAAGTATTTGCCATAGTCTTGACACTATATGATTTTTACTAGGGTGACCAAGGAACAAGTAGATTTGTCCTGAAAGACTTTGAGTCTTCCTCACCTTAAATCAATCATTCCTTAGCAGGTCAGTACCACTGCAACAAAATTAGACAACTGTCTTTTTTTAATCAGATCCCACATGTCCCCAAATTTTGGAATGAGGTTGGTTTAAAATTGATTGGGCTGTATTTAAAAAAAAAAATGTCAATGTATTTACCTTAGTTTGCAGAAGATAGCTTTACTGAATGGTTAGGTTAGTAGTAATTACATTTAGAATCATACATGTACTTTACCAAAGGAGAAACTGAGTGCCATATTCATTTAATTTTCAAGTAACCTATCAATGTTCAGAACTTTGAAGATAAAAACAATTTTGGGTTTTAGGTCATAAAGCTAATTATAATTAAATGAAAGTGGTAAACAAAAAACGTGCCTGCCAGCTTTGGCTCTTTTTTTTTAAGGCAGTTTATGGAATATGTGAACAGAATTACCATGGATATAAAAATCAAATGGATGCTAAGTGGGAGTGTGAAAGGTCACATGATCAATAAGGCCAAAACAGTGAAATGAAAATTATGAAACATAATATATGGCCTAAAGCAAACAAATTTAACTCACATATTTCTCAAATTAATATAAATGACTTATATGTGAAAGGAAATCTATAGAAAATTCTGAAACATACTATGGATACCCCATATCCTTTGTTTTTCTATTAGGTTAAGTGTTAATAATGATATTTATAAGGTTATGAATAAATTTAAAAAAAACATGCAATGAAAGTTTGAGATAACTATTTATAGCTAACACAAGTAGAAATGCAAGATATGCATAATTAGTGAAATGAGGCCAAGAAAAATGATGCACCAAAGACTTAAAAATCTTATTGTATATATTTTGTTATGAGGATTTTCAGTTTTAGAAAATATGCAATTTCCATGAAATTTATTTTTTACTAATGGGTCTAGCATAATATTAATATAATATACCACATAACAAATTTTACATCCTACAATGGACAAAGAAAGCCATTTAATCTACACATCAGATATAAAACAATCTGAAGAATTCTACCAATAAAGCATAAAAGAGGGCTATATACTAAACAGCTTGATGTTCTTGTCTAAACTATGGTAAGAATAAAATTTAACAGTAACTCAAAATTTCCTTAAAATTCTGTCGGAGATACTAAAAATTAGAAGTAGTTCCTTGAGGGTACAGATTTGTGTCCACTCTTCATTTACAAGGATCTAACAACTCTCCATTCTACTTTCTGTTCTGGTCATTATAAGGTCAACTAATGAAATACAAATCCTGTGTCCACACTTCATTTACAAGGATCTTACAAATCTCCATTCTACTTTCTGTTTTGGTCATAATAAGGTCAACCAATGAAAGTTCGTATACCAAATTTTTGTGAAGTAGTGTATCATTACAACAAAACCTGTGATACTTAAAGGTCTTCAAAACCAAGAACAGGTATTGTCAGATCATTGCAGTGAAAGCAAGGACACAGGGTCTATGCTTTAATCAGATAGAATCAATAAAATGTTCATTTCTTTGGATTTGAGGGATACAAAAAAAAAGGTACAAGTTAGCTAAATTTCATTTTCCCCTTACAAATATAAAAGTGCTAAATGGGCAAAAATTTATTTCTAATATTGATGGGCTGAATTCAAGATGAAATAAAAAAAATAATATATTTCAAAGTAAAAGCTTGTAGAGTTGTCGTAAATAAATAGGGTTTTAAAAAAAAATAGTGTGACTGTATGACAAAAAACATTGTCATATTTGCAATATAAAATATTTTGAAATAAAGATGAACTGCACAGATATACCATCTTCATGCTACTCTACATCATGTACTTTGTTAGCTCCATAGATAAAGTAGATAAGTAAAGCATCCTCTGACTAAAGCTATATTTATATATACCCTAGTTGGGAGAGTTATCTATGGTGTTGTAGGTAGTGTTGTGGTTGATTTCTTAACAATTTGAGATCAAATACAGCTGATTGAGTAATATACAATTGCATGCGTAAAAATACATTTCTAAGTGTTAATCTGAAATCAATACATCATCTCAGCTGTGAAATATAGGGTAATAATTTTGTACACTAAAAGTTTCATCAATACACCACTACCTTACAGGCAAATATGGGAGATTACTGATTTTTTTTTAAAGTTTTGGTTAGTTTAAGATAACTCTTTTGTTGTGCTATAAACACTTTAAAATAATGAGTTATCTCTCAATAAAACAGTCAGTGCATAAACTCCTCATTTAAACAGTTGATATGGCCATATCATTGATCAAGAGGGCAAACTGTATTGATTTCTTCAAGGAAGAAAAAAGAAATTTTTCCACAACACCAACCATTAATGACCAGATTAGTATTCTTTAATAGCATTAAGGGAGTATCTTAGTTAACTCTAAATATAAAGCTACATAATGACATCAAGTCATATTGTTAGTGATAGGATTATACATTTACTACATATTGTACAAAAGATTGTTAATGTATAAAAAATACACAGTATAAATATGAAAGAATTTGATTAAAGGTCTGACTACAGATTGTGCGAGATGAACCTTTGGTTTTTTGTGATGTTGTCTGGCCTGATGGCCTCGGAAGCCTGCTTGTATTTTGGTTGCTGCTTTGTCAAGTTCAGTTTGTTCTTTAACCTCTGGTTCCTTTGATTTTGCCTTTAACACATAAAATCAAACTTACAGAAAACCTTCCATGTAAATCACTTAACTACTGACCACACAAATAAGCTTACAGAAAACCTTCCATGTAAATCACTTTTGTCAAACTACTGACCACACAAAAAAGCTTACAGAACTCTGTAACTTTTAAAAAGTATCTATGTGGCTGGGTGTAAAAAATATATGCAACTTAATCATAATCTGAGATTTTTTTAATTTTTTGTGTAATCATATCACATAGTCAAATGTTTAATAAATATCAATATAACAATTCAAAACTTCAAATAATTTAAAATCCAACAAGAAAGATCAACAAGGTTTATAAACATGATTTTATTGATCAGATCCTGTTTCAGTTAAATAATCTCTAGTTCTCAAAATTGTGACATTTCAAACAAACAATGAGTTAAATCCATATGGCCTGGCCTTTTTCTTGTGATCCAATACTGCAATCATTACTTTTTACCAATTTTAAAATAAACAATAAGATCATGTTTTGAGAACTTCCCTCATATTGTTGAATCACTTATTTCTTTTTCTTCATGAAATTTTTAAACCCTGCTTGAATTTGTTCAGTAGCTTTTTGAACATCAGGGTCATTTAAGTCAATATCAACCTCCTCCTCTTCCTCCACCTTAGGGGCCTCTGCAGTGGCTCCCCCTATGGCTCCTACCTCAGTTTTTACATTAGAAACAAGTGTCTCATTTTCATCATGAGGATAATCTATATCTGTCGATGATCCGTCCTAGTATTTAATAGGGGTAAATTTGATAAAACCTTTGAAACAGTCAGCATAAAATAGCTAATAATTAAACCATATGATATCATATATATAAGGAAAAAGGCTACTGCATGTTCAGATCTCCAGGAATTCATTTTTTTGTGAAAATTTCCTTACTTACAAACAAACAAGAAATATCAACTTTAATTTCGAACATGTCTTTAATGCTTAGTATATCAACTATAATAGCATAAAATTTTCTGCAATTATTTTCAGACAATTTTTTCTTCATCATGTGAATTTTTATGTTTTTATGGGAAATAAAGATGTCAGCACATATGATTGCATGATGGTGTCACAGAACAAGTACAAGCTATCGTTTGAATATTTTGAAGGTTTGTGCATCTTTGACTTTTTTAACCTTTCCTTTTCATAAAAGATTCACTTTTAGAGATAATTAGATTTACATCCAACATTTTTTCAAACTTTTCACTGCCTTTTAATACCGTAGTAAGAGTATTCACACTTCAACAATAGGTGTATTAGTACAGAAAAAACATAGAACAACAATTCTATTTTAACACATTTCAAACAATTACAGAATATTTGCACACTTTTGCCCCCAAACAGCACTGCACGAGTTTCTATGTTACCTTTGTTTGGACTTCTTTTCTTGCTTTAAAGCCTTTAAATCCTGCCTGTATTTTGATGGCTGCTTGTTCTACATCAGGATCTGTTAAATCTATATCTACTTCTTCCTCCTCTCCTTTTGGTTGTGTTGGGTCTTTTTCTACACTGTGTAAAATATATTATACTCTGTCTAAATTGGCCATACAGACTACATTTACAATGCAAAAGTACATAAAAAATTGAACTTATTTCATTATATGGCAACAAATGAATCAATAATGAGTCTAACTTTCTCTGGATTATTTTCCTGTATGACCATTTTCAGTATGAGACAAACATGTAGAACTTTGACACACCAGTTATTGGAGTAGTTAAAGGAACAATTCTATTCAGAAAGAATTAATATTTTCGAACAGAAATAAACATATAGGTTCTATCATTCTAAATAATGCGAATTACACCTCCTTCATTAGAAATTCTTAATTCTTTTTTCTCTCAGTGTTAGGATCAATCTATGGAGAACCGATGAATCTTTTCATCTATAATCTCTGTTTTCTATTTTTTTTATTGTTAACAGATTTAATTTTTGCATATTTTCCTGGTTTGTCTTGTTTTCTAAAAATTTATCTCCTGTAAAAGCGTAAAGACATAAAAAATGTCAAAAATATAAGATACCAGTTACAGTGCAAATAAAAAATAGATTTTGCCCCAAAACTCTGGAAATAAAGTATAAAATTTACATCATTTGTTTGACTTTTTCTCTATCCTGGTGACCACGGAAACTTGATTGTATTGTTAAGGCAGCTTCTTCTTCCTGCATGGTTTCAACCTTTTTGACGGCGTCATGACGACGGAATTCTGTTTGAATTTTTAGAGCAGCATCTTGTTGTTGTGGATCACCTGAATCAACCACAGGACTCTAATAATAGAAAAGATAATACAGCTCTCAACAAATCTATTTATAGTTAAGGATGTTTGCTACTCTTGTTTCTGACTTTTTGTCAGATATTCGGAATCCTCTAGTTTTATCCATGTTAGTGCCAATAAAAAATTTGCCTGCTAACCCCTATTTTTCTTTTTATAATTTTATTACATATGGTTTAAATAGCCATATTTGAAAATGCTATAAAATCCTTGTTATTTTTTCATATCTTTTTAAAGAAAAAGGATGCCAATGTTAAATGTATGAAAAGTCTAGAGAGAATTATTTCCCGCCAAATTTTCAATGGCCTATATCTCGAAAACAAGCACACGGACCCTTAATTTTTTTCTGCTTTTTTAGTTCCTTTATTTATATACTATCAATTTATAAAAGTCTTTTAAAAAGCCTGTTATATTGAAACAGAGTAGCGAACATCCTTAAGACGCAGATGAGCCCATTTAAAAAGGAAAACAAATGCATCCTGATAATAACAAAACTGTAAGTCATCTAACTGCATATAATGGTAATAATACTTGTTATTTTTATCATTTTCTCATACTGTGGATTCATTATCATTCATTGGATACCAATTTTCATGGATTTCATGGCAACCCGGGAACCATAAATTTTAATGTACAACAAAATCAAATTCCAAATTTTCAGTAAGAATGTATGCAGACTTTGGCAGAACCACGAAATCAAATATCCACGAAAATGCAAGATTTCCCCAATCAACGAAAATTGGTACCCACGAAAATAAAATCCACAGTATCAATTGTAATTAAGATTTGCATGTCTTTTAGTATTTAAACTTGTAGTTTAACCCTACCCACAAATCCACAAAAAAAAAATTGTATTTCTTTGAGTATTTAAACTTGTAGTTTAACCCTACCCACAAATCCACAAAAGAAAAGATATCCGATGAATATCAATATTTCTATTTGGTAAAGGGTATACATTTTCAAGAAAGAACATTTTCTCAGAAGGAAATATGGAGCTACCACCCTACAACAGTCCTAAGGGGAAAAAAATGATTCAATCGCCATTTCTAATTGGGAAATTAACTACTTTAGATATAATGACAATACTGGTTTTCTTTATGAAAGTGTTTTAACCTCCAAGCAATGTTATTGACCAAAGAGAAATTAGAAAAAAGATTTATCTTCAGTCTTCCCATTAAATCAATATAATTGGTATCTAAAATCATTAGATGTGACTTGGGTAATTCATTTTCTGGTATTACAAGGTCCAGTGGGATATCACACTTATCTATGATTTCATTTAATTGATTTCTAAGACTATATCTTACCTTAAACGAGTCATTGTTATAGAATCTATCTTCTAGTCTAGCACCATGTACAGCTGGGTCATGTCCAGTTTCTGAAAAACAATACTTTTTATTAGTTTAGTACATTTATGCAGTTCCAATATAAAGCAAGACCGAGTAAAGCATTCATTAATGGAACTTATACCCTTGAGAAATCATATTTATATCAATGATCATGTTACATACTAATGGTTGAGATATCATAATTTGCTGGAGCTTCATTTTCCTCTTCCTGGAATATTTTTCCCATCCATCAAAAATAAAATATTCAAATCTAAAAATGTTTCATAATGGCAGTTTTTTACTGAATGATACTAATGACTGTCAAATGATCAAATCATGCAAGTTAAATTTATCTTTTTATAAATACTACTGTAAATTCAGAAATTATTGCGTGCATTTATTATTGCGATTTTCTCATTTTAGACTAAAATGCGATTTAAATTTTTGCGATATTGAGAAAAAATCCTGTTTAATTCATATAAAAAAATTCAAAATGCGAGTTTAAATTATTGCAATTATAACCCTGTCGCATTTTTCGCAATAATAAAAACATCGCAATAATTTCTGAATTTACAGTACCTTATTGGAATTCCAATTATTATTAAGAATTTAAATTAACTTCTTACTTTTATGCATCTTTTGCTACAGATAAAAAATCCAATGTGTGGTTTTAAAAAAGGATACTAACAGAGGATGAAGAATGTGATAATTGAGTTTTCTTACAGTGATAATTGTTCAATAACGCCTTTCATGGTCTCATTGCATCAACTTACGTCAAGAAAAGATGGACGACAGACTACACTACGTCTCTAGACAAAATGCTTGATTAAAACATATACTTTTATCAATAAACAACATCAAACAGACTAGAAAAAATTTACCAATAAACATCCAAATTTGATTAGTTCCCTGAACACAGACAAATAAAATGCTTTGACCAGTTTTCTGGCTTTTTAATGTACTCTGTTACACAATAACTTAATCACTAACCCCTAGGATAAAATCTTATAACTATTATTTGACATGCAAGGTTCCTCTGTATAATATTAAATGGAACTGATCCCGTAATTTCATCACAGAAAATGCAATAATCAATACTCGTACAAATGTAACCATTATTTCTTTTGATTAATGCCTGAGGTGGTTTTCACTAAGTATCATCCATCACTTCAAAACACATTTTCCGACATAAACATTCATGTAGAGTAAAAGAACTGTTATACATGATGAAAATTGAAAAGAAATGTGGTAGATGAATGTGGAGACTTTATCAAGTAGGGTAAAAACAAACTATGGAAACACTCTACACAGGTTTTTAAAGGATGAATTCAAGGTGAATAGCCAGCCTTAATACTGACCTGTAATTGCTATGGAAGTTGAAACTCATTATATTTATCAATATGACATCATGAAGTTGATTGCAAAATATTAATATACAGACACATTTGAAGCCAAAGTCAAAGAACGAAAGTAGGCTTACCCACTTTTTTTTAATCTACCTAAGTATTACAAAATTTAAATATTAAAGGAGAAAAAGTATCTATAAACAAAAAGAATTGTTTACTCATGTATTTTTATAAGAACTTAAAATTGTGTAAATTTGATTTCTAATCAATTTCTAAACTATAATTAAAAAAAAAGATAATTAATTCTTATTAGAAATACCTCCATTTTTATGTGCTATATCATCCTCATCACTTGTTAAATTCCTTTTTTTTGATTCCACAAAATTCTTCAACCTCGAAAATTTACCTCCCATTATGGTTTGCCAATATACACAATTATTGATCAATAAAACTTTTTTTTGTTTTCAGATACAGCCCAGTAAACAGAAATTTATTGCTCTTCATTAAATATTGATAATATCACACATTTATCATGGTCCAAATGTAATTCACTACAACTTTAAAGTGTGAAAAACAATTTAGAAAATGCTTTTATACAAGTTTAGCATTTTCCATCTTTCTGTATCCAATAGCTATATTAAAAGAAATTTTGAAGCAAGAGTATCGTAAGTCATGAACCACTTTGATTCTCTTGGGAGTTGCTTGTCTATACAAACATGGAAAGGAATAATGGCAGAATAAACGATGTCAATTATGTATAAAAATCAATAACATCAATAAAGATTCAAATTCAATTGCTGAATTAATAATTATATTGATAACTATAGCGAGTTTCATCATCCGTAGCAATCACATGTCAGAGATCTATAAAACAGGAAAAATGGAGCAATCATAAACAACTACTTCAATCTGTTCCTGCCTCAAAAAACAGCAATTAGACAATTGTTATGTAAATTCAAATCAAACGAAATTTAATAATACAAAAATTTAAATGACGGTGAACACAGATTTGGATCTGACCAATCATTATCTCTGACGGTGAACAGAGATTTGGATCTGACCAATCATTATCTCTGACATATGGAGCACGAGTTTTTATTCAACAATAAAATTGAAAGTAGACCAAAATACAAGGATAATATATAAACTTACACAATATAGCTAGTTACAAACATATGTTCATGACCAGACCAAATGACAATGAGAAACAATTTGCTAAGGCAAAAGAAAACAATATGATTAAATTAGGGACTATCAGGCTTGGTGCAGACTATTAATATATATTCATGATTAGTCCAAATTATAAAATTATAAGGATCAACTCACATGTGAGCTAGTTATTTTCATGACAAGTCCAAATTTAAAAGGATCAACTTAGCTAGATCTCTTCATGACCAGTTCAAATTACAAAGATCAACTTAGCTAGATCTCTTCATGACAAGTCCAAATTACAATGATCAACTTAGTTAGATCTCTTCATGACCAGTCCAAACTACAAGGATCAACTTTACTAGTCATCTTCATGACCAGTCCAAATTACATGGATCAACTCATTAGCCAGTTATCTTCAAGAAAAGTCTAAATTACAAGGATCAACTATGCTAGTTATCTTCAAGACCACACGGTCTAATTACAAGGATCAACTAAGCTAGTTATCTTCATGACCAGTCCAAATTACAAGGATCAGCTTAGATAGTTATCTTCATGACCAGTCCAAATTACAAGGATCAACTTAGATTTTTTAGTTATCTTCATGATGTTGTATTAATTGAAGCCCAACCTGTCTTACATGTAATAGTCATGACAATAGATTCTTTTCAAAGAAAAATATAAAATGTGTGATTCAGACAAAATCTACAAAAACCTTAAACACAATTGTGAAAACCATAACAAACCTAATGCACCTGATTGACTTAAAAAGTATTTTCTATTTCTGTATAATTGTACATGTTCCTTTAGATCTCTGGTCATTGACTCGGTACATAACTGATACCAATTAAAAGTTTTCGTCAAATATTTATTTTTCAAAACCAAATACAGTCTTGAGATTATGACTGAAGTATTTTCAAAACAGAAAGTCTTATGGTGTAAGTATGATAAATTTCCCAATTATTTGCCATGGGCTTGGGGATCCATTTTAAAACATTTGGAATCACCTTTGCCTGCCTATGGCAGTCATACCTATTTTTTTTAATTTGTGAATGTAAGTATTGACATCTTATTAATTTTGTACAAAATAAAGAGCACAATAGGGTTTCATTTGAATGATTATTTGTATAATTATACCACAATGTGTCTCAAAATGTTTAAGACAGACAGACAGGATCAATAAATTTCAACAGAGCCTTGTATCAGGATTCAAGTCAACACCCAAATATCTGTTAAATAGTGCCAATATCGGAAAATCTAATAGTGTTCTTAACTTCCAACTAAAGCAACATTGTATGTTGTGTTGACATGCCCTGTTTCTTGGCAATGTCAGAGGGTCATTAATTGTGTCTTTTTCGTGTACTATCATTTGACTATACACAATTTTTAAACTGTCAACCATGTCAAATGGATTCAACCATTACCACAAATTCTTTTGTTTATTCCAGACTAACTGGTTTTAATTTGTATGCTATAAATGCTGAGGTTTTGATTAACATAATTGTGTAATAATTAAATGGTGATTGCATAATCAAAGGGACTGGTAATCCTTGCCCGCTCATTGACCTTGTAAGAGTATATGTAGAGATTACCATGCTGTTCTGGCTTTAATTTTGTTTTATAAATCATATTTTAAAACTTTCCAGCTATTTGATATGAATTGCATAACATATATAACTTAGAAAAGTCTAAGAAGAATAATCTTGGGAAAATCTATGTGAGTTATTTCCCCTAATATGACCATTCATTAAAATAAGTTCTATCAGACAACCAAAAAGCTTTACACACTCATTTTTTTGCAAATATATGATTTGTCAGAGATGATCATTTTATTGAGTCGGTCAATATTGCATATAAAATGTCCTTTTCATGAAAAAAAATGTATGCCATTTTTCAAGCTTTTGTGTTACAATGAAAAAAAGGGGGGAGGGAATTTCTATTAAAATTTGGCTTATAGACAGGTAAAATAAAGTTCAAATTATCAAACTTTTTTTCAAAGAGTTGGTTCAGTTCTGTAATTTAAAATATATTGTAACAACTGATTCGCTAAAACTGCATTTATTATTGTCAATTTATTTGTTCTCAGGGTGTATTACAATTAACAAGGAGCATACCAGAGGTTACACTATTTAAGAATCATAGGGAGAAGTGACTTCTCTTTTTGAAGTGGATAGGTAAATTGGTAAGACTTAAAATTGAAGTGCTTGTTCCCTTGCAGTGCAATAATGTTTTGATTTTTACAATGATATCTTGCCATTTGCATCCTATCTATACTTATTTCTTTTTTCATTGAACAAATGTTTTATTTTATGTCTGAGACTATACTATTTCAGTTGTCTCATAAATCAATGTGTCAGTTCATGTCTTAAATTGTTTTTTTATACTTTACACAATTATATTTTCCATTAGTCATGCAGTACTATCATCAAGTATCTAAGACTGTTGCAGCTTTAAAGAAAATAATTCAATAAGAAAAAGAAATAATCATTTATTAATTGAAATTCTATAAGGAAATCTATAGTGTTTAATATATTCATTGATTCTCATTAAAGAAT